GGAATGCAGACGCTCTTAGTCGTCTCCCGTTGCCGGCGCAGGAGGAGGGCAGCAGTGAAGTGCTCACTGAATATGTGCTGTACACGCGGGGGTGGGACGACCAACCTATGTCCGCCCAGCAGATGGCCACCCTGACTACGCGGGACAGCCTGCTTCGCCAAGTAAAAGCCTGGATTTACGCCGGATGGCCGTCGCACCTGCGCCCGGAGCAGCACCAGTTCCTACCGTACTTCAGCCGCAGATCTACCCCTATGAAAGAGGGCAAGTCGCCAGCCGAGTTGTTGTTAGGCTTCAGGCCCAGGACAAGGCTAACCGGCTTCTTCTCGAGGGGCGAGGAAGCGCAGCACAGCGTGGTCGAGCCGCAAGCCCCGGCCACGACACCACCGCCATTTTCGCCAGGAATGCCGGTCTGGTCACGCCAGTTCCAGCCGAGGCGGAGATGGCTACCGGGGACTGTGGTCTCCAGTGAGGGTCGGCGCATGGTCACGCTACGCACACCGGACGGCCAACAGAGACGGCACCTGGACCAGCTGCGACCTCGAGACGCTTCAGGGTCCCCGGAAGGCGCTGACAAGGCACGTCGAGTCGCCGGCCGGTCGGAGGTGGGAGCAAGGCCGCCCAGCACCAACGAAAGAGAGGTCGCCACCAACGGCGATCCCGAGGTGACGCCCACAGCAGACCCGGTTCCTCTCAGGCGCTCTACGCGCCTGCGGAAGCCGCCGGACCGTTTGAACTTATAGGGGGGAGGGGATGCTGTATCGCCGTACGGCTGCGTCACCGCAACCAGGAGCGGCGCGTTCCAGCGCATGCCCGTGCCGGACATACGTCACCGGCGCGGGAGGTAAAAAGAGAGCGCTTGCCAATAAACTACGGTTTTCATGTCCCGGCCACCGGCGAGTCTGGTCGACGTTTCACCAGGCATTCCCCAGTATGTGTATGATTGTTTACTAGGTCTGTAAGCTTCCCCACTACATCATTGCCGCCATGTTAGCGCTCCCCAGCTATTGTGTTTCTCATGATCAATTAGATTGAGATTGTTTAGCGTTAATGTTTGTGAGTCCCCCATTTTAAATTCCTAACAGAGCGCTTCAATGTCCCTTTATTTTTGGTTTGCCGCTATTTATCACCACAAGCAAAAACATCACGCCACTGGGATTAACCTGAAGCTCACCTCATGATTAACGACGCTGCCGTCCTCTGTCTTGAGGTGGGCCTACGTTCATGGGTACCTGTCTAGTGGTTCTGGAGCTGATGTTGCTGAGATAACCGAGACGCCGATTTCTACGATGGCCTCCTTCGGCATCACGGTCAGTAACAGCAGGCGTGAGCCCGAACCAGGCCAACCAACGTGCTGGCCCGAGTCCGTGCCTAGTGGTCTAATCTTTAATCCAATCGCCATATTGAGTTAAAGACGTCAACATTCCTCAGTTTAAATGTCGGAAGTGCCTCAATAAGAGCAGGTATAATTATTAATAGCAAATTTAATGAAGATATAAATGCTGATAAACACCTGCCAAATTTGACTAAAAATAAACAGAAACATCCAACCCCTAGTTATGGTTGAACTAAGCGGCTGCTATGTGAATGTTTTTTTATGTTCGACAGCTCGGCAAAGTTGCCGGATCTGGTTATGCCTCCTGTACGAGACGGATCACAAAGCGGTTCCTGACTGACCAGTTGGGGCAAAAAGTTTTGTGGGAAGGACGTAAAGGAAAGTTGACATTCAGGAATCTTCACCTTGCTGAGTGCATCATAAGTGAGTAATCTCTGGAAAAGTACTGCAGATCGCTTCAGATTTATGGAAGTCTTGCTGTCATGTGTCTGTTGCTTTTCTTTTATCAGATGCGGTGCGGAGCTGCCATAAATGTGAAGACTTCAAGGTAGAAACCAGTCACAAATTAACTTTGCCACGCACCCGCCTCACATCGGTCATCTCAAAAGGTAAGCCGACGTCAGCGCATAATTCTAACTTTTCTAAAACAGTAGAGTATGGTGCGCAATTTATTCAAAGCATAATTTCTATGTGAGAGTATTTTAATGCTTTAAATGTTAAAGCCAGCAGTGATGTGATTGCTGCGCCAAACAGTGCCAAGGGGTTAACCCTGCTACATTCTGCTACATTTTGCCAAAATGTGGGTAATCTGTGCCAAGCCTGCGCCCAATGACTAATTTCGGTCGCCTTTCAAAACTGAAACTAAACTAAGAACGTAATTGAGCATGCATGAGCTAGGTGGTGCAAGCGGCCGCCCGACACAAAGTGCCCTGCCTCCATCCGGTCTTGCAATGTTTTTGCCACCGTTTCCCGTTTCGCGCCTCGTCGTCTCGCGAATCTCGTCTCTCCTCTTTTTTAAACTTTTTCAACGATAGACGCGGGCATGTGCGGACGCTCCGACGCTAGTGTGCCGGGTGCCAGACATGCCGTCATGCTGTGAAACAAAACCACGTTTTTGCGCGACAGGAGTGGCTTTGTGAGCTGAAACTCTGGTCGTGCGACGTCGGGTGTTGCCGTCCCCACGTCGCTGCAGATATGGTGCTTTCTAAACTTCTTCATTGACATTCCTGTTCTTGTTTAAATCATACTCTACTACAAAAATTTCCCTTTAAAGGGATACGACAACCAAATTTAGACACTTATCTCCTGGTCTATTCGTGTTCAAGGGCTCCAAAGGCCACTTTTGCTGCTCCAAAACACTGTTTTGGCTGCTCCAAGAGGTGCTCCAAAATGCTTAGGCCAATCACATCACTGAGCTAGTGACACCTCTTGGTTTAATTTGATATCAAATACTACAGGTGTGAACAGCATTGAATAATTTTAAATAGAAAAATTTTCTTTGGAGTGTTTCTCTAAGAGGAAAAATTTAATTATATAATAGTACCTTATTATGGATTAAAAAGAATGCATAGAAAACGAATTTCAAGAACACTGTGATATTTGATGTAAATCTAACAAACAAAAGTTGGCAATACAGTACACACATCCAGCATGAATGTGCTTTAAAAAACAAGGCGTAAAATAATTGTGGTTTATTTACATCAGTTCCAATTCTTGCATATTTGAGTCACTTTACTTTGAACTTCACTGTTTTATTAGTTTTGCTTCAAAGCATGGTAAACCACTGCTCACATATTTTTAACATAACATTTTTCGTTGTTTTTTCAGGAACATTCTGCACCACAGGAGAGAGTGATGTGAACTGCCTTAAGTGAGCCTTGAATGCGCTGAGCTTTTTATTATGTTTATCAGAAATATTTTTTTTAAGCAAAGTATCCTGCATTGTTCAGTAAGTATACTTTATCCTGAAAACCTTATGCTATGTATGCAGCATTGTTCAAATATTATACTTTATTTTAAAAACATCAAGCACTGCTCGTATGTCTAACAGTAATAATAAAGAGTTAATGGCAATTTGTTTGGCACTACGACTTTTTTTTACAGAATGGATGTGCATGCGTGACAGGCTGGGCAGAAATTTAGTGCTCTACTCACGTTCAAAGTTACGCTGCAAAGACTGCAGCGGCATCTTTCGCCATGCAGTCGGTGCTATAGCTGTCATGGGATTCTGGTGTCCTCGTCACTAGAGCACATGTCCTCGCCTTAGACTTGAGTAAATTCCTCAGGGTCGTTGTCATAGCATGTGACAATGTTTGTGTCCAGTATTTCACAGTTCTCTCGCATGTGGCGGGGTCCACCTCACTAAAAAGAGTCAGTACCAGCAGCGTCGCCTTCCTTGTCAGTGTCATCTGCATTGATCCTGCAATAAAGCTTCTTAGCTTGATGGTGAAAACAAAACTTCAATATAGAGAATGCCTGCTGCGGGCCTGATTGCTACATTATACACCTGTAATGCGCCATTTGGGTATACATTGAGAGCATGCACGGGCTATACAGCAAATCTGCCCTCTGAGCTCTTGTTTTGTAAAAAATTGGACTCATATCTGTTTAAATTTTTCTGTAGGGCAGTTCACACGCGATATGCTAGCATAAAAAGGAGGCTGCTTAGACACTGGCAGTACTATTGTGTGTTGCCTTCTGGCATAGGGCTGGTCCCTATACCAGGGAGAGTAATATTTCTGAGGTATGCACATTGTACATCCACATGATCACGCTGAACATCCTACAATGGTCCTGAATGTCCAGCTTCATCATCCAGGTAGCGTTAGTGGTACGGTTTCTGGGGAATCATTTTGCACTGCACAGTACATACTTTCAGTGTTAGATGGATCATAGCAGATATCCACTGGATATGTTAAATGTCCAGACAACACATCTCTCGGATGTTTAATAGACGGTTGCTGGTTGACTGGGTACCATCAAACCAATGTGCACCGGGGCACCTGTTGCCAATTACCGCCATTGGTTTTCGCCCCCTAAATGCCATCAACTCAATGTGCACAGGGGTGTCTGTCGTCAATTGCCGCTTATTGGTTTTCGCCCCATAAATACAATCAATCCTATGTGTACAAGGGGGCCTGTTGCCAATAGCCGCTCATTACTTTTTTCCCCATAAATACCATCAACCCAATGTGCGCAGGAGCATCTGTTGCCAATCGCTGCTCATTGGTTTTTGCCCCATAAATTCCCTCAATGCAATGTGCACCGGGGTACCTGTTGCCAATTGCTGCTCATTGGTTTTTGTTTCATAAATGCCATCAGCCCAATGTGAATTCCCTAAAAGATTACCAATTGGTGCACATAGGTTTTTGTTTCAAAAATGCATATTGCTCAGTGTGTCTGGACCTACAGTTGCACATTGGTTCAATGTGAATTTTGGCCTAATTTCACTTCGCCCATTTCCAGCAGGGGTCTCCACCACCTGTCAAAAAAGAGCCGAAAGGCCAATTTTTCGGACAACGAGCTGTCGGCTCTGGTAGACTGATACGAGCAGCGCAAAGTGGCAATTGAGGGAAAAGGGAACAGCGCGCATGGCTCGATTGCCAAGCAGCGGGCTTGGGAACAAATTACTCGCAATGTGTTCGCAGTTTCCGGCATCCGAAGGGAAATGGCCGACATAAAAAAGAAATGGGCCGATGCCAAGAGCATCAACAAGAAGCGAGGTAAGTCAATCCTCAGGTTTTGGAGTTCGCGAACTTAAATGATACGATATGCTTTGTACTAATGTAAAAGGCAAAATGTTTGGCGCTAGCGCTGAGTCAACGCACGAGCATATTTTACTCCTTCAAATTAGTGCTTTTAATAATGTTGTCGACATTAGACGCGCTAGCGGAGAAGACTTAGCTAGATGCGGTCTTTTGCGAGCATTTATTTTACAAAGTCATTCACTGCGGAGGGCTCCCGGCTTCTATCAGCAACGAAGGACGTTTTAGCAAGCGTGTAGTGACAACCAACAGTGTTAAACCAGTTCAATTTTGCTCGAGGTATTAGGTGGTGTCCGACACAGAAAAATGTCGCGAAGTTTGAGGTCATCCTTACGCACGTTCGAAAGGCGTACGTGTTGCCCACAAGCCTTTGCCAGGCAATGAAAACCGGTGACCGAGCAGTCGCGCTTACAACAGCCTGCTTTGTCTGCTACGTTATTTAAAGGGACACTGACAGGGTATTTATGCTCGCCGAGGTTTTTAGTTGTACATGACACATGAGAGGCCAACTACCCAGAACTCGAAATTCGGTTTCTTTCCGCCCAAAAACCGCCGATAAAGAACTGGCCAGTTCGAGTTTCGCTCACTCTCTTTTCTGTGGTCAAAGGTCGTTTTCTAAGGTATCGAAGATACCACCAAATTTAATCAAAGTCGTTGGTCACTGAAAGCACACACTCAGTATTAAAAATAGAAAAAAACATAAAACCCATTTTTTGTGGCTTATAAAAAGCTGCAAATACGCTGATTGAAAAAAAAAAGTTCCACAGAGAACCGGAAGCATTCTGTGCATGCGTCGTTTCGCGTATCGTGGGACTCGCGGGGACGGCGATGGCAGCGGACGACGGGCGTGGGACCTCTACTTCAGAACTGTCGTTCGCGGTACCGGCGAATGCTGTCTGCCCTTAAGAAAGAAATTTGGGACTGATCAAAACAATTGGTATTCATTCCGTACACGCCCGACCACCAAGCCGATTTGCACGAAGACGTCGCCGAGCCGTCGCTCCCTCCTCCTGGCTGAAGACATCGCTCGCGCAAATGTCAAGCACCGCACGAAGTGTTTACTTCGAGTTGAATATGCACGCGTACGATTTCTTTATAGGTGCGAATGTCGCCAATGCGTCGTGCTTCCCGACTTCGCCCAAGAGTGCTTTTGCTGGAGAAAAATCGGCAGCAAACTTTCCAACTCACAGTTTACCGGCTGAATTATTACTAGAGATCCCCCCAGAGAGAGGTGCCCCAGTAGCATTTCCCGCGCGCGCTCTCGTACAAGGAGGACGCACAAAAATGGGCTCCCGCGGAGCAGCGGATACGGCCGGTGTCGGCCGGGCCCCACTCTAAAAAAAAGGGTATCACCTTACACCCTTTTGTCCCATATAATACACCCCAAAACTTCATTTCGACGTACAGCGCCCTAGAGTCGAACAGTCGGCACGAAATTTTACCAGGGGCTTGATAACGGTGCAATATAACTTATTAAATTGCTAAAGCACGTATCAAAGACCAAAGAAAGAAAACATGAAGCTTTTGCAGTGCGGCCAAGAAAACTCCGATAATCTTTTTTGTATTCAATAATACGTACATCAGCTATCTTAATAAGTTGTACCACACGGCTATCAAGCCCCTCGTAAACTTTGGGGCCGCCTGTTCGATTATGGGGCGCTGTACGTCGAATTGAAATTTTGGGGTGTATTATATGGGACAAGGGGTGTAATAATACACCTTTTTTTTCTGAGAGTGGGGTTTTTTCCGCCTCAACCTTGTCTCCGAAGTATAAGGTCATCCTGCCGCAACTGCCGAACGGTCCGAATGCTGTGAACACCGTCATCCTCCACGGAGACCCTTCGGCACGCCCTTACCAGATCGAGGACTTCGGCGACCCCCTGAGAGGTGCGGTAAACTTGGAGTCTGTCGTGGGCCTGGGGCCACTGCAATTCAATTACGTGTTGATGGTGACCCTCCACAACGCAGAGGCCCGGGACCTGCCGGCTGTGAAGGCGGAGCTCACCGTCAAGGGAAAGCGCTGACTCATCATCGACTGAAGCGTCAGAGAGCTGACGGTCAAGGTGCACTGGGTCCCCATCCCGACACTGGAAGACGTTGTCCGGAAGCTGGTGCAGCCGTTTGGCCGCGTGAAAGCCGTGCAGCGAGAAATGCGGAGACGGGAAGGCTTCGGCAACCTGGAGACCACGACGAGGAGCGTCACCCTGATCCTCGGAAACGACGTCGCTCTCGACTCGCTGCCTCATCAGGGGAGCATCGACGGGACGCAAGTCCTGTTTTCCGTGCCGGAGAGGCCTCCCCTGTGCCTGCGCTGCAAGAGGGTCGGGCACACGAGGCGCCAGTGCACGGCCCCGTGGTGCAGTGTGTGTCGTGCTTTCGGCCACGAAGCCGCGCAGTGCCCAAGGTCGTACGCCGCTATGACCGACCGTGCCAGGGCCCCCGAGCACGTGGAGGAGCAGCTCGACAACGCGGACATGGAGGAGATCGCGCGGCCTCAGAGCTCCGGGGAATGCAACCGGAACCGATCCCGCGAGCCGAGCAGTCATGGCGGTATGAGCGGCGAACCAGCGCTGCCAGCAACAGCCGAAGAGGCCACAGCCTTCCCAACTCCCGACGCCATTGCACCAGAGGCGACGAGCGGGGAACCGGACTTCTCCGTTCCCGAAGCGGTCGAGAGCGAAAGCACGGAATCCGCTGCCAAGGGCGGGGAGACAGAGGACACTCCGCCGTGGCAAACGGTGAGTTTTGCAAAAAGGAAAAACAACAAAAAAGCGCTCCAGTCCTCGGACGATGAGTCAAACGGCAGGAGCGGGATGAAGCTGAGAGGAAGTAAAAATGAAGACCCCTCTCACCAACCGCGTCAACCGGATCTCCCAGCTGGCCCCGTCACCCTCCCCAGAACTGCGGAGGACCCGCTCCCCGAATCGCGCTGACCTCCTTTCCGCCTCCATCATGCACCAAGCGATCACCGCGGAAAATTTAAAAGTTGGCACACTAAACACGGTCAGCCTTGTTGCTTGGAAGAGGAAGCAATGGCTTCTTGACCTCCTCAACGAAGAGAAGATCGACATTGCCTTCATTCAGGAAACTATGTTATCCACACCAAAGATGGCCAAATCCTTTTTGTTGGGGTTTTTGGGCATGACCTTTTCAGAGTGCACACGCTCACCAGAAGGCTCTCTGGCGGCATCGCGGTCTTTGTCCGAAAGCGCAAAGACGTCATAGTGGTGGCACGGGACTTGAGCGACGACGGGCGCGCCGCCACAGCGGACTGCCTGGTCGGCGATCGCCTGATCAGATTCGTCTCTGTGTACGCTCCCAACAACCCAAGAGAGCGCCGGGCCTTCTTTGAGACGCTGAGGGGCACATTGGACCAGGGCTTAAAGTCTGCCTCCAGTCTGGGGGGGGTCCCCCCTATCTCGAGCACAGGTAGAGGCCCCCGGAAAAGGGAGGGGGGAAAGGCTTTATTTGTGCGCTTCTTCGATAATGTTAAACCGACACTTCTACAGCTTCTTTCTACAGCTACGTATCCTTTCAATTTATCCAGAACTTTTTCCAGGCGAAAATTTTCAACTGAGACCAATTGGTCCCAGTTGCACCTGGTCCCAGTTGAAGATGGTCCCAGCTGGAATTGGTCCAGTTACAACAGGTCCCAGTTGGAGTTGGTTCCAGTTACCGCTGGTACAACTCCAGCAACAATGAAACACGGCACAAAATGGAAGGTTGACAAGGCTTTATTGTCAAAAACGTGGGGAATGGAACTAAATAATAGGTTCGGTGACGTACACGCTCCGGGTTTAGCCACTTGCTTGCGACGGTTGAATCGCTTTTTCAGAGGTAGTATTCGTAAGATGAAGGAAGATCGACCGCTGGTGTCTGTTAATGAAGACGTCCTCAGCTTCTCTCCCCATCGCGTGAAGAAACGTGCTCACCCGTGATCCCGCGCTGCGCAGGTGAAGTCCTGATAGGATGCAGTAGCGCTCCCACCTTGCAATCTCTGTCACAACAGTCGAACATTTTGAGGTAGACCTCCCGCCATTTTCGCCATTGTGCTCTCCGCGGCGTTTTCTTCCGTCCGGTCTATGTGCGTCCGATCTTTCTTGGGTGCCCTAGCTCCGATCGCTGAACTGCATCTTTCCATCCTCGAAGTTCACCGCCGCCACCATGGTGTATGTACAGTTAGGTCCAAAGAAGCGCAGCTGTAGTTTTGACATTTTCATAACGACGCCAACTTGGGCGATGGCGACCCTTCTCTACCGCGTCCGTCCGACTCCGGATGGATGAATGAATACGACTGAGCCCTTTGGATCGGGCGGTAGCTTACGCCACCTAGCCATTTTGTTTTACCATTTAAGCTTAGAATATTTAAATGTGAAATCTATATTCACTCCGCAGTGCAAAGAAAGTGAGGCTATGAAACCCCCTTGCCATCAGTGAATAAGAAAATACCTAGTTTTCTCTCGATTTCTGCCACCATTCACTTAATCTTTGCTTAATAATCTCAACAGTCTTGAAATCCACTCTCCCTTCGCTGTCTCTAAAACCCAATGACTTTATTAAATTTATGTTGTCTTCGGTAGGCATAGGGTGAAGCGCTTTACAGTAGAGTATCAAGTGCTCAGCCGTCTCGTCCTCCTCTCCACAAGCAGTGCACACTGTATCAATTCCCTTGTACTTCACTCTGTATGTTCTGGTTCGCAGAACACCCGTCCTCGCATCAAACAGCAATGAGCTTCCCCTAGAATTGTCATAAATGCTTTCTTTGGCAATAACTCTTTTGTTTAATCTATAGCTTTCCAGAGCCGTCTTTGTCTGCATTCCCTCTAGCCACCGATCTCTTTCTGTGGCCTTAACTTTCTTCTTAACTGAGACTTGCCCTTCCGTATCTTCGCTATAGCCCAAAAACTTTCCTCTAAATTTCCTAGTGCGCTGTCTCCACTTTGTGTCTACACTCCTCA